TTAATCAATGGTTTGAGCAAAGGGTTGAAATTGACTAGTAAACTGGACATAATATCAACAGGAAAACTTCAATAAAAGCTTATAGACCTTTCATATGAAAAATTTTCCGACATAACCGGACACAGTTCTTAAAAAGCTCTGGACATTGAGATAAAATGATTTACTTTGACCCAGAACTTTTTCCTTATCTTTTTGTAAAGAATACAACTTCCCGAATTAAATTGAAAGTATATCTACTTTAGAATCAATAGAACAAATGAATTTTCTAAAACTTTAAATTGTGATAACTTCAATTCCCAAAAAGAAGCAACATAAAGAAGGCTCCTTTCAAATATTCAAGGTCTCTTTTTTAAATAGGGAGGTATTCCCTCAAAAAGACAATCTCAATAATAAATAATTCCAATTGACAACGACAGCGGGTATACCATTCTTAATACATTTGAAGCTATCACCGCAAACAAAATCAAAATTGTAAAAAATACAACCAATACAAGATTTTTGCCACTATCGTTGCCTTATAACAAAATCTAATAAATTTAGATAGCAGCTATAAAAACATAATAGAGATCCAAATAAACACCCTTAGAACAAAATTATAATTTATATAAACGTGGCCTGTTGAATGTCGTAGGCACAGCTCATAACTGGCTTTTCGACCTTACGAAATGAAAATACGAAAATTATACCTTACTTACTGTAACAATCATAACATTTAAGAAACAATTAGTTATTATTAATAATAATTTCAATGAAAACTTAAGTTAAATGAGATATAGAATAAAACCTAAAAATGCACTCAATGCCAGCCAAACACTCAGAGATATGAAGCCAAAACTAATTCAATTAAAAGTTTTAGAGAACATCGTCGATCAAAACATATATTCAGCAAAACACAGTATTTCTCATCCCTCTATACTAACATGCGAGGATATAGATAAATACTATATAGAGTTTTATAAGTTATACACCAGTGGCTGTTTTATATTTTCAATAAAAAATACACATAAAGGATACATGTTATAAATAACAATTGTTCCCATACAAAAGAAATAGAAGAAAAACTAGAAATGTTGGTAAATATCGACAATATATCTCTAAAAATAACACTCTAAGAGATGTTACATATAAGAAATCTAGTACTATTAAAGAATTTTACCTTTCAAGGAAATGTAAAATAAATTTTTAACAATAGTAATTGATTCGAAGTTAAGAACGTTCTCGACCATGCCGGCCAACTATAATTGGAAGAGTCAGCGTTTAACGTCTGCACGCCCCCAAATCATACCACTGGCCAAGCACTGTACACGCATCCGGTCTAATTTCGCCTTTCTCTGATAATGCATTACCCACGACTTCAAATGATTGCAATATGATCGATGGGGAGTTATGATGGTGATGTGAATGAGGATGAACGGTCAGTCTTAGTGACGCTGTCATGTAATATAGTTTCACTGTTCAAACAATATCATTTAATTGTAAACTCAAAAGTTCAATAAATAAAATTGTGAGAATCTGAAGTGTTTTATTAATTTAACTTAGCACCGTATATAATATATTTTTTGAAATCTGTCGATTGGAAATCTTAACATCGAATTATTTGTTGGCGACATTATTATTATTCATCGTTCTATTCGATTACACCAAGCGAGATATTTATGTTGCATGAGTCTCGTATCGAATCATTTTACTAAATATTTCAAGAACAAGTAAAAAAGCTGTAAGTTCGGCCGGGCCGAACTTTTAATACCCTCCACCATTTGGTACAAATTTGGCAATTTCCAAAAAATAAAACCCGTTAAAAATTCTGTTAAAATCTTAAAAATACCGAATGCTTATACGACGACGTTGCATAGGCAACTTTTGTCATAAATTATTACAATATTTAAATGCGAAACTTGAAGAAAAATCTGTTTATAATGTAGCTAAAATCGTCAAAATACCGAATATGGGGGTACCGTTATATGGGGGCTATGCGAAGACGTGGACCTGCACAGACAATTTTCTGGCATGGGCTGAAGTATCCATTACGAACTTCACATACGAAATTTGAAACAATCCCTGTAAATAACGTCGCTAAAATCATTAAAATACCGAATATCGGGGGGTACCGTTATATGGGGGCTATATGAAGACGTGGACCTACATGGCTCATTCTTTGACTTTGGATGAAGTATCCATTACGAACTTCAAATACCAAATTTGAAACAATTCCGGTAAACAATGTCGCTAAAATCATCAAAATACCGAATATCGGGGGGTACCGTTATATGGGGGCTATATGAAGACGTGGACGTACATGGCTCATTTTTTGATTTAGGATGTAGTATCCATTACGAACTTCAAATACCAAATTTGAAACGATTCCGGTAACCAATGTCGCTAAAATCATCAAAAAACCGAATATCGGGGGGTACCGTTATATGGGGGCTACAGGAAGACGTGGACCTGCACAGATAATTTTCTGTCTTAGGCTGTAGCATCCATTGCAAACTTCAAATGCCAAATTTGAAATAATTCCGGTGAATAATGTCGCTAAAATCATCAAAATACCGAATATCGGGAGGTACCGTTATATGGGGGCTATATGATAACTTGGACCTACATGGCCCATTTACGAACTTAACCTGCCTACTGGGAAAAATACATGTGTGCAAAATTTTAGCCTTCTATCTCAATTTGTTCGAAAGATAGCGTGATTACAACAGACAGACAGACGGACAGACGGACAGACAGACAGACAGACAGACACACAGACAGACAGACGGACATGGCTAAATCGTCTTAGAATTTTACGCTGATCAAGAATATATATACTTTGTTGGGTCTGACATGAATATTTCGAGGAGTTACAAACGGAATGACATAATTAATATACCCTCCATAGTATGGTGGAGGGTATAAAAATGTAGAAAATTGTAGCACTTGCTTTGCACGACAAAGAATTAGTCTACAAGGAGCCCTTCTACTTCAAAGAAATGCGAGGCTAGAAAAGATGCCTTCGCAATTAGAAAAACAACCTCGAGCTCTAAAAAATAATTTAGTCGTTTAAAGAAAAAAGAATGGCTGTTGAAAACTTAATGTACCAATGCTAACAATTAGGATGAAATTCGCACTATACCCAATACAAGTAACGATGCTGAAAATAAAGAAAAACGAAACTCTAATGAACCAGGTCGAGATAATGGATTCGAACACACTGAAGAGAACGATATAATTGTTTCAGAAACCATTTTCAAAACAAGCTATAGAGACATCTAGCAAATTGCTAAATTTCTTGTTGTTGTTGTTGCAGTGATAATGTGCTTTGTTGTTTATAGACTGATTAATCCGGTTATTCTTCGATGTACAGGTTTAAGAATTCGGCTACCTTTATAGGCTGTAGCCACAGTTCCTCTGGACAGAGTTGGGTAACCTTGGCTGGACAATTGAACAGATTCAGCGCATTGTGCGAGTCCGTATCGCACGAGTTACATTATACCAAGCTAATAAATTCGAGGAATTTTTAAAAGAAATTAATAAAGATAGAAAGAAAACTCGAATATGATTTCCGGCACAAGCCACTCAATATTCTTCACTTCCAACTAATTTTAATCGGCTCATGGTATTTTCCCACTTACTCTAGCATAAATATAATTTTAGACAAGTAAGCAACAATTGATTTTTTAAACTAAATAGAGCCTACATATCAGTCTCATTTTGGCACTGCTTGAATTCTGTTCTGTTCTTTCCCTTTTTTAAAAACGTTCCGGTATTGTACAATTATTTATTTTACGCTGGGCAGGCGTTCCGCACATCTTCGTCAATTCGTGTCCAATATGAATCGAGACGGCTGCACCATCCTGAACGTAGTTGGACCAAAACTACCCTGGTTTGATAGGCTTCATGATCTAGGGGCTCTCTCTTAAATCGCTGAACCTCTCTCTCTAGATCATGCAGGTCCTTCCTGACACGCCTGGGTGGGGGAGTTCTGTCCTCCATGTGGTGGTTAGGATGACTCCCACGATAACATCGATTATGCTCATGCAAGGAAAGAACCTTCATCTCTTCGTGTAAATGGTCCACAGGAGTCATGAGGAGGCACCCTGTTGCAGTTTTCAATGCGGCATTCTGGCAGGTCTGAATACTTTTCCACTGCGTTGCACTTGTATTCGCAGACCTCCTTAATTTTGAATAAGTGTAAAATTGAAAGGAAATATGCCAAGTGGCAGGAAATATGCAAAGAGCATAATACTATTTCTAGCGGAGAAAGAAAGGAGGGGTTACTCCCATAATGGTAGATATTCTTAGACAAGACACACCTAATGAAAGAGGTGACCATACGATAGGAACAATTGAATGCAAATCTGGCTTAATAGCTTTCATTTATATTTTCATATATTACTTTTAAACTTGGAGATAGTTGTGAACTGTTTAGTTGGTATTTTTAACTACTTCCCTTAAAAAAATAAGTTCTCAAAAAGGCAATCTTTCCCAGCGTGAAATCCACTGCTTAAAAGAACAGCAGAACAACACCAGACTTGGCAACGAAGAAAGATATAATAGTTTAGAAAGTTTCCAGTATTGATGGTGGATATTCGAAGCCCTTATCGCGATAATCTTTTTGTCGTTAATTAAACTGATGTCATGAAGAGGGTATTTTTCATTGGGGACAGATACGTGGTAAGCCCACATCAAATTATTGATTTAATGCGGAAATAATGAAGTATAAGTCAATTTCAAAATCATAAAATTATTAAACTTACGAGGTTATACTCTACCTAACTTAAAATCAAATAATAAATATCAGATTCTTATGTTTCAGTATTATAACTATATAAAACAGAATAAATAGGAAGAGAAACCGTTATGTTTATTATAAATATTTAACAGTGAAAATAATACAATACATATGTCGTTTTTTTAAACTATCCGCAATAAAGGTCTAAGAATGGTTCCATCATTTAAATTTGATTTATGCACTTGAAAACAATAACCTAATATAAATGTAAAGCCAAACTTACATGTATGCATTTAACATGCATAGTTCCTTAAGTCGGCATACGTAAGTTTAGACACAGATTATTTTGCATGTATTATAACAGGATCATATTTATTACTGCAACGTTTTGTCCCAATCAAAATTCCGCTATATCTATGTTTTTTCGGCGAACAGAAACAATAAATGCTGTTGAATATGTGAAATTCTATAAACCGCATTATAAGCAAAGTCGTCTTATTGTAGCAAAGTCGTCTTATCGTAACAACTTTCCATATATTCGTTGACTAACTAGTTGAGTGATCTTTAACAGCTTTTGCATAATTGTAGAAAAAGCAACTCTGTTCCTGCAAGAGATGAAAAAGAAATATATATGTTAGAGTAATTATTTTTTAGACCAACAATATAATACAATAAATACCAGAGACTATTATTAAAAACTTCCATCAGTAAATGAGATATAATACAATGATGATATAATTTCTTTTCTTATTTGGAGTTTCGAATATTTAGATGTCGCCTAAAACTATACTTTAAAAATAAACAATGCGTGTTTAATCTATAAAATAATGACAAACGCGTATATTGAGTCACATTATTGACTATTATTATACTATTATATACATATAATATATATATATATATATATATATATATATATATATATATATATATATATATATATATATATATATATATATATATATATATATATATAATATATATATATATATATATATATATATATATATATATATATATAATATATATATATGTATGTATATATATATATATATATATGTATATATATATATATATATATATATATATATATATATATATATATATATATACATACATACATATATATATTTTCATAATCAGCATAAAATTCGAAGTCGATTTGTCCGTCTGTATATCTGTTTGTTTAAATTACGATACAGCCCACATTATTTGACGTATACCATCAAAATTTAGCAGAACAATTTGTATTGTGTATAGGATGGTTGGTATTGAAAATGAGATCTATCGGTCCACGTTTTGGTATAGTCCCCATATAACGGAGAAATTCGAAATTCGGTATTTTGATGATTTTTGCCACATTTCTTCTCGGATTTGTCTAACACATATAACGATACCTACCAATATTGGGTATATTGATAATCCTAGTCACATTTACGCACATAATTGTTTTAAATTTGGTATTTTAGAAGGTTTGATAGATTACAATCCTTTAAGTATAAAATTGTCCACAGAGGTTCCCGTTTTCGTATGGCCCATATAACGGCCTCATTCACTTTATGGTTTTTTGATAAGTTAACTGCATTATCCAAACAGTCTTACTGGTATATGAAGTTTAAAGTGAAACACGCTTGAATTCAGATACTTTTATATAAAAATATTTTCTTTACCCTAAGGCGGATGATAATAATAGTTCTGCCCGGCCGAACTTATTTTTTTTACTTGTTTTTAAAGTAATATGTAATATTTGTCATTGACATTGCGCGTCTTTTATCATAGTATAATTCAAAGACGATTAAACAAAGGCCCGGTTCCTTAAATAATATGACCCATATTTTAAACTGCAAAAGCTATTTAAGGTATCGTGAAAGTTTAGGAAGAATTTCTGAAAGAGTAGAAATCCCTTTCCCTCTCCTTTTTAGCGCTTTTATACTCGGCATTTCACGGATTATTGTCATGTGAAAGAAGTAGGTAGGTGCACGTTTTGAAATGAGCCCCATAACGTTTTGTCGTTTATTTTTGTATGTTTAAATGTGTTCGCATCTTCCAGCTGAAGCACGATGTAGATCCTGGAGTTGAAAGCTAAATGCCAATTTCAGACATGAAAGATCGCCATTTAACATCGTATTGCGTACTATTTCTTTTTGATATTATTTATTCAGAATTCAAAACAATAAAAATGTACACTTCTGTATAGTTTTTAAATTGAAAAAATTTCACCCCAAAAAGATTTTTTCTTTTTTATTTTTATTGGCATATTTTACACTTTTTTGCCAAGATTCCATTCCAAAATTGTATGAATTGTGAAAATCCTTCAAAACGTTCTTGAGTTATAAGCATAGTAACTAATAAACAAATTGAAAAAAAAATCTTCAACTTGTTCGCTGGTTTTTTACAGCGAATGTTTAAAGGTCCTTACGAAGTTTGGTCTTTACTATTATTTTGAAATTTGATTCCACTGAAAAAAATGTTCTCAATTTTTCCCCGATTTTAGAAATTTTGAAATGCAGTAGGCTTTTTGATTTTTATGATTTTTTAGCAGCTTGGAAAAATTAATTATCTTTTAACTTTGGTTTGACCACGTTAAATTATTTTGACATCATCTATTCAGGTCCGCCACTCCATAATTGTCGTCGCTTTATACTACCCAAAAAGACTACACATCATATTAGAATTCCAAAAAAAAAAAATGTACATTCCAAAATAGTAAGTCAAAATGGAAAAAAATCATGCAAAATAAAACATTACTAATGTACACTTCAAAAGTCAAAATGAAAATTTAAAAAATTCACAATTTTACGCGATTTTTTTTTTTATTTTATCCTTTTCTGCCAAGAGACAATTTCGAATATGTGTGAATCGTTAAAATCAGATCAGCGGTTCTTGAGTTATAAGCGTAGCAACTAACACAATCTTATTTTATATATATAGATAGATTAGAAGTATGCGTTGTCAGACCCCAAATAAATCCCTAGGGTTGGAGGGAAAGTCAACAGTATCTCGTGTAATAATTTTCAAACCGATATCTTCATTATCTGGCAAATATAAGGATTTTAGATAAATCAAGATAGTGGGCGTAAAAGTATGCGTGGTCAATATTTTTTTCTCTAAAAACCTAACTCAGGGTATGACGAACGTTTGTACAAAAAAAAATATGCAAATCGGTTCAGCCGTTTTCATCTGATTCCGTTACCAACAAACAACAATTGATTTTTATATATATAGAGAAGAAGAAGGAGAGATAAAATAACACTACTGTCAATTTCTGCTTCTTTTCTTTATATTAATTTTTTAAGAACATCACATTTTACCGGAAGGTCTTTATTAAAAGCTACTCGTTTCAAATCAGGGAAAAAATTAATTATTTAACATAACCAACAATCACAATCTTTGCTCCGTATTCTCTTGGTTCATGCCGGGTTCTGCTCCGTTTGTCGTAATCGCATCCAGCACGGATTGGCCTCGGTGAGATGCAACGGATGCATGGGGTGGATGCATTTCCGGTGTTGCTCCCGCTTAAACCGGATACAGGAGTATAGCGATGTTGACCCCAGTGAATCACTCCACAACGTCGTCGGAGTGTGAAACTCCCCCGCAATCTCCACAACAGCAAGTCGCGCAGCAGTTAATGCCACACATTGCTGTTCAAATTCCGGACAATGCATCGTTTCTCCAATTCAACTGTGATGGTCTCCGAGGTGATCAACGAAATCGTAAGTTTCATGAGTCGGAAGAATGTCAAGGTCGCAGCGATCCACGAAACGAAGCTGGGTACCACCTGCAGGCCTCAAAGTTGTGATGGATACAACGTATTGAGGAAGAATCATACCAGAGGTGGAGGTTGGAGGATTAGCGTTGCTATTGCACCATTCTGTCCTGGACAGACTTCGTGATTCGTACATGGAATTTATGGGGGTAGCGGTCAAGTGTGGAACCGGCGAGGTAGAGGTGCTTAACGTGTACATTCCGCCGTTAAATAGCTGTGCCCCACGTTATATGCCCAATATCAGTTCACTTCTGGTAGACAACAATTTCAATGCCCATTATGAACTATGGCATTCCGTCCCAGGTAATTAGCAGAGAAAGAGAGAGAGAGAGAGGACTAACCCTAATAACCCCAGGGTCAGAGAACTTACTCTGGAGGTAAACAGGTTAGTCGGTGGGCGGAAAAAGTGTCTAGAACATCTGAAACATTGCAACATCAGTACCGGATCAAGTAAATTGCGGGCAACAGGGCTAAGAGAAGAATCCTACGCCGTGTACGATCTCCAGACGGCATAAAGATAACAACGTACGCAGATGATTGTACGCTCATGGCGTCCAGACCCATCATAGGTGACATATGCTATCGGTTAAATGCTTACATAGTTGATCTAACCGCCTTGTTCACTGCGAGGAACATAATATATCAGCCATTAACTCGACGGCCACACTTTCACCACATGGACTGCGGAGATCTTTCTATCTTTGAATATGTGCAGGTCGATGGTGTAGTAATTCCGACCACCAACTACCCCAAGTTCTAACATTTGATGGCCTCTTCAAGTCGTTCGAGCATACCACAGCTATCTGCAATTAGATTAGAAGAAGGAAGAAGGTTCTCAAGCCTCTGGCAGGCAGTACATGGGGAGCTGATAAGGATGCTTTGTTGTCCTCTTACAATGTTCATATTCAGTCCTGCCAGAATACCGCCCTTAGAACCGCAACAGGGAGCCTCCTAATTACACCTGTCAACCACCTACATGAGGAGGCGAAGGTCTTACCAGTGCGACAGCATAATAAAATGCTGTCAATGCAATACCTGATTGGGTGTTACAAAGCCATCCGCATCACCATCTTGTGGATAGGCAACATCCGCCCAGGCACGTAAGAAAAGACCTTCATGATCTAGAGAGAGAGGTGCAGAGATCAACAGGCCTATCAAGCGGGACTGAATAGTATTCTAATGCGGTATCAGAAATTATTGAAGGATATAGAGTGAATACTGTACTAGGAGACCTTACCCCACCCGTCGCAGCTGAAGAACGAGAGCTGCCCCGACAAACCCAAATAGTTTTGGCTCAATTACGATCTGAATGGTGCAGCCGTCTAAATTCATACTGGGCCCGGATTAACATTAACTCACCTAACTCCAGTCTCGTTATGGACAAAACCCATACAGATTGCATCCTTTTTGAGACTGGACTTAGAGGGGCCAAATCACGGCATTTGTCATCGAGTTATCTTTCATATAGAGAAACATTTCGATCGCTGTAAATTTTTTGATCACCGTATTCGATCGCAATTTATTTTGTCTGCTACTTTTTTTGCATTGCTGTAAACATATGGTAATAAGAAATTGGAAGCGAAAGAGAATTTCAAAATAAGATTTTGCGATCAAAATATGTTATTTCTGAGAAATTTATATTGTTTCTGTGTATAAATACATGTGTACAAATCTATAAATATATAAAAGAAAGTTGTGTTAGTTACTACGCTTATAACTTAAGAACCGCTGAACTGTCTCAAAATTGTCTCTTGCCGGAAAAGGATAAAATCCAAAAAAAAAATCGCGTAAAAATGTGAAATTTGAAATTTGAATTTTGACTTTTTAAATATACAATCGTAATATTTTATTTTGCATGATTTTTTTCCATATTGACTTACTATTTTCAAATGTACGTTTGTAGTTTTTTTTTTTTTTTTTTGAATTCAAATATGATTTGTAGTCTTTTAAAGTTAGTACAAAACGACAACGACAAAACAGTTATTTATAGATTTTATGTATTTATTGGGTAAGCGGAACTACATGAATAATATCTTTTTAGAAGAGGATACAAAATAAATAATTATTTTCACCATATAAAAGTAAGTTATTTTAGTTAGTACCCTTATAACTAACGAACGCCTTGACGGGTTTTGACAATTCATACAATTTCGGAATGGTTTTTCAACAAAAAAATCGCGTGAAAATATGCCAATTAAAATGTTAACCAAAAAATATTTTTGGCGTGAATTTTATTTCAATTTGATTTTTTTTTTTTAATTTAAAAATGTAGACCTACTTCTTTCATGTGACAAAAATCCGTTCACTGAGAACTTAAAATGCAAAATTAATTAGGACCGCAATCAGTGAAATACCGAATATAAAAGATGCAAAAATAGCAGGGCGAAATGGACATTTGGTTAGAAAAGCATTTATATACTTTCAGAAATTCTACCTAAATTTTCAAGATACCTTAAATCGATTTTGCAGGTCTGTATAAGGGTGCAACCCGATTTCAAGTATATTTTACATTTTAACCATATTTTTCATACTAATTTCGCAAATATTGGAAATTTGAGAACAAACCATCCTTGCAAAAAATGATCACTTTTTCGTATAATCATCATATGATCTTGGCCACTTTTTTCATTTTGGCATCTTTGTTTCTAAGGGTGTAGAGAACCTCTTCGCATAAAAATTTAAATTTTCGGAGTAGGGCCTATCTTGGTCTTGACCACATCCATCAATTGATTTGGCTAAAAAATTGTATTTGGGCCACCCTGGGTAAGGAACCAACTTATAGATAATTGTCCACACATTCATTTATTTATGTATAGTCCTCAAAATAGTGTACACCCAAGTGTGGTCAGAAAAGACAATTTTGTATTCTATTGAATTTGTAACACTTAAGAGAATATTGGTTGGGAACGTAGATTTGGGATGCACGTCTATATGAAATGAACTCCAAAATGTCAAACTGGAACTCATTCGGTCGGAAATAGTGGCAGAAATATGAAAAAAACATTTATTACAAAGGAGCACGGGACTGAAAATTTGTTAAATTGTCATTGAATTACACTATGATGAAAAATATTGACTTTATGAGGTCTCAGACGCACATTTTAAATGACAAAACCATTAATCCCCATCTTACGGTAATGGGCGTAAAAGAGTAATTATCTTTGACTATTCAGAAATCATTCAAAAATAGGTCTATTATAATAATTATATAATTATAATTATATAAAAATATCTTATAATAAAATCAGTGATTTATTATGCTTTAAAAATTTGCATTATAGACTAAAAGTAAGGGGCCGGCAACGCGGACCGGGCTAGGTAGTATACTATGAATGCAAGTGTTTTTTTTCCTCGTCTTCGGACTCAGAACATGAGTACAAAGTGGTATTAATAAAGAAAAATATTGGTGACAAATGCAGTTCTTTAACATTGCCTGAAGTGGTGTTCGTGATTCTATTTAAAATAGAATAAAACTTACACATTCACCAACTTCTTTGTTTTCGACAGCATACCACCTATCGTGTACAACAACTTCGAGTAAAAACAATTCGATAGCGACTGCGGTGATCCGCGTAAACTTCATTATGATGCTGAAGTACTCGATTTCGACTGCGGTGATTTGGCCCCAGATTGAGTCAGAAAATGGAAACAGAACGAACACAGCTGTATGAGCTTGTACAACAAGAACAACTACTACCAGTTTTGTATTATTATGAATAAGCATTAAATACATTAAATACGTTCATCAATATACATACAATTATTTAACGCACATTCTAAGGAACTGAAAACATAACATCGATTTAATAATTATTATGGAATGTCTGAATGACCCCATGGTATATTTTTTTCAAATATTACGAAACCAAAACTATTGCTCCTACAACTAAATATAAGAAACATTCTCACCTTAGTTCCAGTGGCAATACGTAATATTTCTCTTTAAAAGAAGAAAATTGACAATCTTTTAGATTTGTTTGGTTTGGTTGCGTTGTGTTAAAGTTTTCTTTCATTTGACGTTGGTTTATTGTTCTAAATGTTTTCGTTCAGCACTTTAGGTTTGTTATCCCCTTGCTCTTAGACTAGACTGGCAATTCTAAAACCGCGTTCTAGTCTAAGAAGGGATTTTGTCATACATGCCTTGGAGCCATCGACGACGACTGATTTGCAATATTTCCAGTCTGTGCTGGAGATGGTGAAGGCGATGAAGATTTGCTAGTAGCAGTAGAATGGTGATGACCACCACTACCAGTGTTGCCCCCACCGCCATGTGAGGAACTGGAAGTAATTGATGTCGATGACTTAGGTCGGTTGGGAGGTGGTGGCGGTGGAGCTCGACGCATTCGTTGCTGCAGTATACGTGGTAACTGGGGATGTGATTTCTGCGGCAAAGGCGCCTGTGGAGGCATGATACCACTGCCGTTGTTTGCCGAAAATCCTCCACCCCCGCCATGATGCTGATGCTTACTTATAGATGAATTATTCGACGAAGATCCTGATGTATTCGATGTTGAGGTTGAAGTAGTTGAACCCCGTTTTGGCAGCAAACTCTGTACCATAGTAATGGGTGGTTGCTGTTGTGCCACTTTGCCCGGAAGAGCATGTTGTCCAGAGTACGACTCCTCATCTGGTTCTGATGTAAGAGAATTTGTTTCAGATGGCGTGGGAGAAGGTGAAGGAGGAGACAGAGCCTCTTGTTCTTGTATATAAGCACGGAACCCTTGTATTGATTCATTTAAAGCCCATAGCTGCGATAGTAATGATAAGTCCAATTGCCTCAAGCCATACATTTCCCGCCTTAGTATGGCCAACTGGGTATCCAATTTTGTAGTTGTACTAGATCCAGATGCACTATCACTGTCGGTACGGGAATGATGGTTGTGCGAATTGTTATTGCTGCTGTGGCTTGAGTGATTATTGTTGGTTGGTGTGTGTAACAACGACGACTGCTGTTGTTGGCGATAGTGCGATAAATGGCCACCGGCACTGTGAGTCGATGAGGCTCGACTATGTATACTTTCACGATCACTGAGGGATTCCTGCGTTGATGACAGACTTCCGTGACGGTATGAGTTACTGCTACTCCCACCTCCGCCTCCAACACGCTGACTACCACGATGCGATGCCGCTGCCGAGGTCGAAGCACCTAGATACAAATCGGGATCCAAAAAGTGATGTGCATGACTTAGAGGTGATGACGAATTAGGTTGCCCGATAGCAGCACTAAGGCTTTTCGGTAAAGGCGGTAAACCGGGCAGTGTAAGTTTATGGTCCTCCTCCATGTTTTTCCAATTTACCGGTTTTGCCAATTTGCGCAATGACAGTTGTAAATGTATTTTTTTTCTTTACACCAAAACTATGCTTGGTCTTCTCGAATTGCGGCGTTGTTGCTAGAAAGAAAGTTGTAACAGAAAACAAAGATGTGTATTATTCTATTTTTTGAAAAACGTAAGCACCCTTGCTAACTTACTTGTCTTAGTTGTTGTTGCCTACTCTTCGACTTTTCTCTCTCACTCACGGCACTTTAGTCCCCAGTCCAATTTTCCTCTCTTTTGAGATTGCGTTGTTTCTTGTTCTTTTGGCCGAGTAACCGTACCGTTACTACTCTTAAAAGGTGGCGCGGTATGACAGATGGTTTTTATTTGTAATATACTGCTCTCGCTACGTTGAATTTCCCTCCCTTAACTTATTTCAAACAGCAAATACTAAAGTGCTGTCTTTGCAAAATTTTGACTTTTCTTGTTTCGTTTTGATTACTATTTGTATTTAATTTTAAGATTGTTATACCTATTTGTTTCTTTTGATCTTATAGTAATGTGTCCAATCATGGATGTCCGGACTTCAGTGAAAGTTAAACTTCCAAGCTTGTCGGCACATTGGACACTGCTTATTCATAGTTTGCAAATTCAACCACTTGACAATACAATGCATGTGGAAGCAATGTGTACAGACGCCCCATACCAATGGACAATTATCGCCGGGAAGCGCACATTCTGGACACGTACTCTCAAACGACATACGACAAATGCCACAATTTTCATCATTTGCTATCCAACGCCATGATGCAACTCCCATCCATGATTTAATTGTTACTTTCATTTTGGGCACATTTAGATGAGCTTTATTTCACACAAAATAATATGAAAAACTTCTGTCAAAGGGCAAAGATGCGGCATAGAAATCCCCTTGTTTCCTTCGTTTATTTAGATCAACGATGTGTACTTCAATTATCCAAACTAGGGCACAAAATTTATCAGCATAAAGTGAACAAATTATGCCAATCTCACAAAGAACTGGAATTTGCAATTTGATATCAACGAATACGCTCTTCGTATGCGCCCTAAATCTATATACAAACAACAATGTCCTGAATATGATGCATTCGGCAATAGAAAACTAAGCTGCTCCAAAATAATTCAACGGCTTCAAGATAGCGGTCGTCTCCTCCGAAAGTACTGTATAGGGCTTTAAAAATGCGCAATCGATAGTAGTAATCGATTTGTTTGATAAAATGATAGGACGTTTTTACATGACCATGTGCAAAGTGTATTTATAAGGTGTATGCATGAACTACAACAACTAACATTTTACAATAACAACATTATGTTTATAGAAACTGTAAAGTCATTCCGACAATTGGTTGGGATGTGAAAATAATAACATAAAAGAATATACACATGTCACAATTACAGAAGGTAGAACAAACCTACCCCCCAAATACTATTTTTTTGCTTTTGGTGCCCTTATTCTGTCAAAACATAATTTGAAATTATTTCATTATTTATTGCAAAATAAATGCAAATTTTCGACGTAAATAGATAACAAATTGTACATATAGGGTACGATAAACCCATTGTCCTGTTTGCTAGAGTCAAAAGCTCAAAAATCAGAAACAAACAGTAATCAAAGTATTGTGACATGCCATGTCTAGCAGCAGTTTAAGCACACACGTACCAGCTGCCGAAACTATACGGATTAGACTTATGAGATCAACCAAGGCCATAGCAATCGTAACAATCCGATTTATGTGTCCATCACTAAGATAGCTCACAATGGTTATTGCTATGAAAGTACCATGGCAGAAGAATACAGGCAGATGCATCAACGCTTGGGAGCATTGATATGTCAAAAAAATTTAAATGTTTTTTCAAATATAAGTTGATTTTTATATGTTTTCTTATACTACGTCATTCGGAGGCTATTATAATTCGCGTTTTCAACAATTTTCACAAATTTAAATAATTTTTCATTCAACATTTTCAATTCCAAAATCGGTTTGACAGTTCATTGTCCCAGAAGCTGTGTCGACGCGACTACCTATATTCTTCTACCAAGGAAAGTACTAAAGCTAAATGAAAAGACTCTTAGGGTGCAAGTACAGCCGAAGAAGCCAGTCGATGACTTAAGCCGGCCAAATATGCGCTTTGTGTATTTCCATCCTTAATGTCCCATCCTTTTGTTAGGTGCACGAGTCAATAGAAAAGAAATCCAAAATGAAATGTTTCATAAATTCCGCCTAAATTGATTCCTAAAGGAATGTTTTGGCAGGGTAGTGCATTTAGATAAAAAAACTGCTTCAAGCTAATTATGAAATTCAAATTCTGAAATTGAGATTGACAATTTATTTTACAGACAAAAATAGAAAAGTTAAAAACCATATGATTGTCAATTACACCTTATTAATTACAACTTGACCATGTACTAACACAAAACTCACAACAGGCGTGTACCCAATAATTTGTACAAATTTATCAACATATGCCCAGTAAATGAGAACCAATGAAGAGAACTACTCTAACGCTGACAGTAACCAATAATTTGCAAATTCTTGTTGTGTCATCAGCAGATTGAAACTCAGATGTTTTACAGCCGATATGAAAATGTAATAAATTTCAGGCCAAAAATAAAAAAAATCTTCAGAAAATAAGCATTCAACAATTGGTCTTTTCGGGAATTATATGAATGTGCATTTTAACCGATTTTACCTTTATGATATCGAGAAATAATGTATTATATCATTTTTAGATAAATAGATAGTTAGTTTGTTAAAATACAGATTTTTTGCAGGGTTTTACAAAAAGATTGTTTGCAATATTTTTGTACATAAGAGAGAAAATTTTCTCAGTACAGTATACCGTGTAATATTTACGGGAAAAGTTATCTGACATTCGTTATGAAAATTACTTTATTAAAAATATATATTATATTAAATAAACTTTAAAAAATATTAATTATACTTCATGTTCATTCAAGGAAGTCTCATGTTAACATATGTGCTCTGTTCCAGAACCAACACGAATCTACTATTTTTCCAATTTTATGCGATATTTTTCATATTTCATTACCAAAATCCATCGATCAAAATTTACTAATGAAAATTTCTTCCTTCAAAATGTACGAGTGTGTTTTGTGAGAGTAAAAGATCGCGACAACAATGTGGTTCGTAAATTAAAGAAAATTCAATCAAAAACATTTTTTTATTGAAAAAGTGAGCTAATCCGATTTTTTAATTATTTTATGTCGGTTGACACATGAGTAAAAAATAAATGTAAAAAACGAGGCATTGTTCCTTTCAATCAACGCGGAAACGTCAAACGGCTTTATTTTTATTTCTTTAATTATAGTAAAAATATGTCACTTGTCTTGCTTAACCGATTTTACCTTTATGATATCGAGAAATAATGTATTATATCATTTTTAGATAAATAGATAGTTAGTTTGTTAAAATACAGATTTTTTGCAGGGTTTTACAAAAAGATTGTTTGCAATATTTTTGTACATAAGAGAGAAAATTTTCTCAGTACAGTATACCGTGTAATATTTACGGGAAAAGTTATCTGACATTCGTTATGAAAATTACTTTATTAAAAATATATATTATATTAAATAAACTTTAAAAAATATTAATTATACTTCATGTTCATTCAAGGAAGTCTCATGTTAACATATGTGCTCTGTTCCAGAACCAACACGAATCTACTATTTTTCCAATTTTATGCGATATTTTTCATATTTCATTACCAAAATCCATCGATCAAAATTTACTAATGAAAATTTCTTCCTTCAAAATGTACGAGTGTGTTTTGTGAGAGTAAAAGATCGCGACAACAATGTGGTTCGTAAATTAAAGAAAATTCAATCAAAAACATTTTTTTATTGAAAAAGTGAGCTAATCCGATTTTTTAATTATTTTATGTCGGTTGACACATGAGTAAAAAATAAATGTAAAAAACGAGGCATTGTTCCTTTCAATCAACGCGGAAACGTCAAACGGCTTTATTTTTATTTCTTTAATTATAGTAAAAATATGTCACTTGTCTTGCTTAAGTAGTAATGGATACGTTTTCGTATACGGCGCATTTTTTAAAATTTTTTAAAAATTTGAATGATTTTTCATTCAAAAATTTCAGTTCCAAAATTGGTTTGACAGTTCATTGTCCCAGCAGCTGTGTCGACGCAACTACTTGTATTCTTCTACCATGTTAAAAATTACAGATGACAAATAAAAAGGGGTTACCATTACCGATTTGCAAATTAGTTTGCCTTTTTAATTTTGCCATGCCAATACCAAAGACAAGACTCTTTTACGTTGGCGCAAAGTTAAGGTGTAGGCATGGTGGAATGATACAGGTAGACGCATCGGCACAACTGTTAGGACAATGAATTGTCAAACTAATTTTGGAATTGACAATATTGAAAAATGAAAAATGCATATCATAACAATCCCCATTTGTGTCGTGTAAGAAAAATTATAAAAATCTACTTGTTTATGTCAAAACGTTTTAGAATTTATGACATATCAATGTTCCCAAGCGTTTATGCATCTACCTGTATTCATCTACCATTGGTGTAGATACATAAGCAACTTGACATGCTGGCTAGGCATATTAATGCCAAATTGCTTGCCCAAATATAAATCTCCGGAAGGAGAAGAAGATGTGTTGCTTCGTCGTCTGCGTTATTAGGTGACACATTATCAAAGTCGTCGTTGCATTAATATGGCACGCAACGATACCAAGCTACATATAAATTCCAATTTTAAAGGGTATCATGGCATATATAGTGACATATTATACATATAATATCAGATCCGCACTCCTATCCTGCCGTCGTTTCCTTTATTATTGCGAAAAAAACAGTGACACGTCCAGAAAAGTAGATTAACTTCCAAGGACATTGGGAAAATTCAACTCTGGAACAGAGTCTAATTGCTCGAATAAACTCATCGATTAAAATCGAGTCGATTTCCAAATCGAACATTCAAATCTTACTTGTTACGACTAGTTTGCAATGATATAAAATGTGTTAAATAAAGTTGATAGTAGCCAACTTTTTGCAAAATTGTTTGAAATTTGATATGCTAATTTGCGATGATTGATTAAACAAGATTAAATCAATTCAAAACTTGAATTTTTTAAATCCAAAGTTAAATGTAAGTATTTTGGCATACAACACTGCTTTTTGTTCTGCAGTCTGTTGCAAAATTGTCAACTCTGTTCGTGGAGGATTAACGCACTGGGTTTAATAGATCCAGTGGGTTAACCCTCTGTGTTTATATACACCCTTAGGAGGATATAAATGCGCTCAGCAGATGTTTGTATGATGTGTGAAAAAATGTTTATTCACATATATACATTTAGACGAAGGAAAATATTTATGTTTATTCACGTCTCTTTCTAAATATATGATCTCCGCCATAACAAGGCAAAACTCAAAAATAAAGAAAATGTTCTCTACCATGGTAGAATGAAGGAAGTAAAGTCATGAAATCATATGTTTACATTTTTTTCAAATGTATTCATTTTGAATATCTCATTGTCAAAATTTATATGTATAAATCCATTGTATACACAGAAATAAGAGACGGAAACCTGTTTTTTATTCAGTAAAATTTGACGAGATAAATTACAGAAAATGAAGATATGGATAGTTTTATTTGAAATGACTTTATATCCATAATTTTACCATTTCCTCTCCGTAATCCATGGTACGCATCTTGTCAAGTTTTTTGACATGTCGCTCTTTTGTAGAGTTGAAAATTGCAAAAATATTAAAATATTTAGAAAATGTCAATATTTTCTAAAAAAAAAAGTGGAAAACATGGGTTAAATGCATTTAATTTTTAAAGAAAAGTCAAATTTGAAAGAAAGGATTTATTAATTCTTTTCATTTTTATTTATATTTCGTGTCATTTAGTTCAAATCGCCATAAAAACATGGAAACAAAATTAAGTATCATTCATGGTAGAAGAATACAGGTAGATGCATCAGCACTTAGAAAAATTGATATGTCAAAAATTTTAAAATCTTTTGAGAAGAAGTAGGTAGATTTTTATATGTTTTTTATACGGCACAAATCGGCAGTTGTTATGATATGCATTTTTCAACAACTTTTACAAATTTCAATAATTTTTCATTTAAAATTTTCAATATTCAATATTGGTTTGACAGTTCATTGTCCTAGTAGCTGTGTTGATGCTACTACCTGTATACTTCTACCATGGATTCATTTTACTATAAATGATGCTGTGTGAACGGGTTAGTTCGTATACATAATTTTGAGAGAGAACAGCATTGTTCGATTTCCAAGTAAACAAGTACGATTTGAAAGTTTGATTAAGAAATTGAGTCGATTTTAAATGACTAGCCTAACCGAACTATTACGTTAAAATTCGCACCATCTTTGAAAAAGTACTGTCCAATGATGCCACCAACCGCTACAGTCTTTAATTGGGCGAATTAACATTCCTATAGTATGTACGATGCCAGAGAATCTGGTCACCTTATGACATGCAGAAAATTGTACCTCTCTGCTACAATGCTGCTGCCCACGACGTGTCGCTGCCGTTTGCGCTAATATCGTTTGGCTTTTTGTTTGTGATTAAATTCAACCAACTTCCGAGCACTGTTGGTTGTATCGTTGTTATAACATTCACATTGTCAGTACAACGACGTCTGTTGAAGCTATAACACGCGATCGGCAATCAATCTCGGATACGTTCGCCTTAGTGTACTCTCTCGCTCTCTTTGTGTTTTCAAATAGGTACAAATCAAAACAAACATCGAAGATCATCACGGTTAGTGTTTGTGTTTTCTTCGACTTCGTTTTTGGGAAGATGTATTGCTATTTAAGTTGTCAAAAATACGAAGGGATCAATCGATTCGCTTTGAAGTGATCTCTGAAGAAATCTAAAAAAAGTTGTTTTCTTGAAAGACCTAAAATTAAATATTATTATTGTTGTTATGAATATCATGAAAGTGCGAAAAAATAAATGAATCAAAGTACCAAAAATTGTCGGATTTACGGTTGATTGAGTTTTGGTTCTACAGTAAACGGTTCTAGTTGAAACTCGCATGAGAATAACAAAAATAAAAAGCGGTTTAATTATCAAGGTGATCATGCGTTATTTGCGTTAAAGTGTGTTGTTTTTGTGTGTTTAAAAGTAGAAGCTCTCCAATCAAAACATCATATACAACGCAAATACATACACACACATAACAACAACTGTGTAGATGTGAATATGCGAAAGGAGCTATGGTTGTTTACATTGAAAGTTGTGGAGTGATGCAAAATAAAAAAGTGATCAAAACAAAATACAAAAAAGTCTGTCTAACAAAACTTACACAAATTGAATGCCAACTAAAAATCACGTTTTTAAAGGTATTGAAAATGTTGCACATGCGTAGAATTTTAAGTTAGCTTATCTCAAGAGAAATCCCAATAATGTGGCACAAAAACGTTCGTAATCGTTTGTGACTATGTTGATTAATTGCAATATTTAGCATAATCCTAAATTCAAAAAACCCATTTGTAAAGTTTAGTTAATGCACAACTGCTCAATTTATGTATATTGCATTATATGACACTGTGTTATGCAAAACCAACATAGGAACTCTGGCAATTATTTTAAAAGGGTTAATATACATGATGTGTTTCGAGTTACGAAAGAGCGATCAGCTGATCATAATTTTTTCTTTATATTTATTGTTTAAAAAAATCTAAATGAAAGATTGTATGAAAAATACATTTCAGAACTTGTTGCATTTAATTTTTAATAATTCCGACAGTAAGTGGGTAAACCCTCAGGGATGAATTTCAGTAGATTTTCAAACCTGTTTTACCTCCTTATTGTACCATTATTTGTTCCTTTACATTTGAAAATGTTTAAGTGTAAACACAGGCCCCCTTTGAATTTTGCTGTCTTTTTTTTTGTAAATAACACGTTTATAGTAAAAAGTTTAAGATTTCCGCACCTAAAGGAATATAATTAAATTTGATTAATAAAGTGAGTTTAACTTGACATCAAAACAGTTTAAATATATATATGTCAAAAATTTTAAATGTCTATTCAAATATAAGAAGATTTTTATATGTTTTCCTATACGACTTCATTCGGAGGTTATTATAATAATTTTTGCAAATTTAAATAATCTTTCATTCAAAATTTTCAATTCCAAAATTGGTCTGACAGCTCATTTTCCCAGCAGCTGTCTCGATGCGTCTACCTATAAAATGTAGGTTAGGTTAGGATGAAAAGAGGGGCGAAGCAATGCCCTGTTGGTCATCCACTTATTCCAGTATAGGCTTGTTGTGCGCTCTAGACTAAGGGTTTATTTTGAAGAAGGCGGTCAGTTTACAGTCTTTTATATATGAAATTCAGTTGTCTTTATGAAATTTCTTAACTGTCTTATATCACTTATATTATATAAAATGTAAGTCAACTGATCTTTTGTTTACGTATGAACTCGCACTTTTTGGATTATCTAGAAATTTTCTGAATTGATATTTAATTTGATGTAACTGTCGACAGAAAAGTGAACAAATGATGCTGAGCAATATATACAAGAATCAAACGAATATATTGATAAAAAATTTTGATTTTATTAAAAAACGAAATATGATCAATCAGAGTCTGCGAATGTCTGACAGAGTTTGGGATTGCGTTTTTATTCAATTTATTATAAAATATATAGATTGCAAATTATATTCTCTACATCCATATAATTTATTTTTGTAATATGTTTCCTATTTATTCCAAAGTCTTGCATTTTCTTTACAGCTATTTTAATATTTAGGCATGGTAGAAGAATCCAGAATTAACGCTTGAGAACATTAATATGTCAAAAATTCTTAAATGTTTTTAAAAATAACTAGATTTTTAAAGGTTTTCTAATACGACACCAATCGGAGGTTGTTTTGATATGTATTTTTCAACAATTTTTACAAATTTTAATAATTTTTCATTCAAAATTTTTAATTTCGAATTTTGATTGATAGTTCATTGTCCCAGCAGCTGTGTCGATGTGACTACCTGTATTTTTCTAGCATACATTCAAGTAAACGATACACGAAAACTGTTGGCAATTTTGGACAGACTATATTAGTTGGATTGTTAGACTATATTAGTTGGATTGTTGTTATACAAAATATTTCGATTTAAAATTGGATTAAAAATAAATCCTAGTTTTTAGTTTTTTTAATTATGTATAGTAAATCATCGTAAATAAAAATAATGCCCTTAATCATCATATATGGGTATAGTATAAATGGGCTTATAGCCTCAGTAGTTTTACGAATCTTTTTAACCCATTATTGTACCTCCTGCAGGTCCTGGAACAGAACGAAGATTTTAACTTTTAATCGTTAACAGCATGTCACGAAAAAACTCGAAGCGAATGCTCCTTGTTATGCCCCAAAAATAAGTTTTTCATTTTTAGTCATATTAGTAGCATATATCCATAATCTCCGTTTAGAATTACAAACATGGTCAACAAAAAGTTTTATTCCAAAGATGATGTCCCCTCAGAGAAGCAAGCATAGCATAATTAATTTAAGGTAAAATCATTGCAATCCTAATGCAAATCTAATTTAGCTTGTCAAATGTCACAGTATATGAAACAGGTTAGCATCTCTGATCGGCACACATATTATGGTTTTATGAATAAACATTTTAACTGTGAGATGTCAAATGAATAATTTTGAAAAATGTTTAAAGATCAGAGATGGTTATTTTAAATGACTTTGCCTTCTCAATTTTACAATTATTTTGAAAAATATATAATATGGGTGAAGAAAAATTACGCCTTTAATTAAATATAAATTGGAAACTATAATTTGATATTTGAAACAAACTCGTAAACGCTTGTCAGACTCGGGGAGTGAGAAAGAATTCGCACGTATATGTGAGTATATAATATCCTGATAAAAACAATGTACAAAATTTCCAAATTTCATCAGACTTTTGCAGACTTTGAGTGATTATATGTTCTTTTTTATAACATAAATAAAAAGCTCGTATGTATACGTAAACTACGATCAGCTGACTGACATTTTATATCATTTAAAGTTAGACTAAACAAGTAGGATTTGAAAGTTGGATTTATAAATCGAGTCAATTTAAATGGACTAACCAAAATGGGTTATTTCGTCAGGATGCAAATTTAAACATCAGAATTCATAAATGGGAAGAAAAAAAAAAGCAAAAAGACGTAAGGTTCGGCTAGGCTTAACTTCCAATTTCCACCTCCTCCAAGTATGCGGATTCAGACGTGTTCCACTTTAAACTACAACTTCTAGTAAGATAGGTAGAAGAATGAAATTAGAGTTTTGAAAAATAAACAATATAATGGTTGGAGCCGTTGGGTGCCATGCCAAAACGGGAGCCTATATAGACAATTTTATACTACAAAGATTATAATCTATTGCGAGTCTTAAATACCAAATTTGACATAATTTCGTGGTTAAATGTGATTGGGAATATCAAAATATCAAATACCGACCTGAAAATGTGGCTTAAATCGTCAAAATACCGAATATCCGAAGGTACCGTTATATGTGTATATTATTCTGAGAGCGGAGTGTCGGAAAAGTTCAAGAACTTGCACCGCAACAGAAAAAAAAAAAAATAGATTCAAAAGAGCTAAAGAGTTGCTTCGCTTGGCCGAAAGTGATGAACTGCCAAATTTGGTTTTTTCCGATGAGAAAACATTCGTTGTCCAGCAGTTTGTAAACAAACAAAATGATCGTGTTTACTTGCCAAAGTGGTCAGTTGGCCACCAGAACTCAAGCGCCGGCCATGGTGATGGTATGGGCCGCCATAACAGCCGATGGTCGCTCTTCGCTCATATTAATCGACCGTGGCATCAGAATAAATACCGATTATTATCGCGAAAATATTCTGAAGGGCATATTAAAGCCTTGGGCACGGAAAAAATTTGACCTTGGACACTCCAACAGGACTCAGCACCATCGCACTCAGCAAGCGCCACCTAAGAATGGTCACAAAATGAGGTTCCTCGCTTCATTTCCAGCACACAATGGCCACCAAAATCTCCGGATACCAATCCGTTTGACTATAGTGTCTAGAGTATTTTGCTCAAGCAAGCGCTTCGCCGGGAATGGAGCAGCATTCGGGCAGCGTGTGACGGTTTCATTGTCCGTTTAAAGGCCATAGTTCGTGCCAAAGGTGGCCAATTCGAACAAATCTAAACCTATTCTAAAATTTGATGCGATTTTCGAAATTTCTTGAATTCATTCAATAAAATTTAAAAAAGAAAATGTAAAAAATAAGGCGTTTGACTTTGTTGCAGCTTTTTTTATCTTACCCTGTATATATAAAGCAAAAGAACTAATGACTTTATAGTTTCAATTATGGGCCGGAATTAAACTAAGTTAACATAAACTCCTTTGTTCTTTGTACGAAATTCTTTTATAAATCTTCAATTTCTGTCATTTGTCGTTTTATACATTTGAAACGTTTTACACATTTTTCTGTCTGTGAATACACAAAAAATTAGGTTATGTGCACTTAAGCGATGGAATCTGTTTTTTTTTTTTTTAATTAAAATAAATCTCCGGATAATTGTACTGCATTTGTTTGATGTCATGTTTTTGGTCAATCGTTGTGGAGTTTATTACGATTTCATTACATCCACCAAATTCTTTAGAATTAAAACACGTTTGTTCGGTATAAAAATAAACCATGTGATACGAACATGTTTCGTGGGGATTTTGCGTAATTTCGTCACATTCTTATATTGACATTTCTTGAGTGGCCAATGTAAAATATATTAACGAATTGAAAAAAAAAAATTAGGGGGAATGGAAATCCCAATATGTCTCAAACTGAGTCATGTATTGTTTGCGCAGTTACAAAAAATTCAAATTTTTTATGAAAGTATTTTTGTAACATTCATAAAAAAGTAAATTCAGGTGTTCAAATCGAGGTTGTTTGTTTAATGTGTTATTGGTGAAATCAGTGTTTGTATTTTACCACTAACATCTGGGTTGTTTATCCTAAATGAAAAGTTTTATTGATTTTTTTCTACATATAATTTTTACTTACATAGCTCAACGCGTTATGTGTATTTTTTCGTGAGTGGAGATACGAATG